TCAAAATAACTACACTTAAGCATGGAATAGAATACAAAACTTGCTTCAATTTTTAACATAAGGTTGGAGATCTCAAAGAAATTTCATACTGGTGGCAGCTGCTTGAGGTCGTGCTCCCAGTTTCCCTGAGGGATGTTCTTTCTTACTGGTCTTGGGGGGGGGGTTGATGGAAAAGCTGGAGATGCTCTAGTTTAGACTTTATCAAACCTGAAGCACCACCCTATGCCCTTCCCTGGAGGCCCCCTCTACCTGACTTGTTTTCCTCTGATGCTCTCCCATTGCCCACACTGAGACCCTGGCCATGTTAGACTGCCTGTTGCCCTCGGAACCTGCCAGCTCATTCCCAGTAGTGCTTTATTATTTAGAAGCCTCTGCTCCTTCTATGCCTCCCCAGTTCCCAGCTCTGCCATGTGCTACATTCTCTGAGCCCCATAACTTGATACCACCTTACATGGGCTTCCGTCTCTTTGACCTCCCCCCAGTGTGAGAATTAGGCCTACTTAGCCCATCATTGTCTATCCTGTTTGCCTCCCCAGACTGTAGGCTCCTAGAAATTAGGATCTGTGCCTTACCATCCTTAGGGATCTGTCCTAGCACCTAACACTTGCTGAAGGAAAGAAGGAAGGAAGGGGAATGGTGGGTATGGGGGCCCATTTCTCTGATCCCTAATTTACCCCTTGCTAAATTAACTCCATCAAATCATTGCTGCCTCCGCTCGAGTCTTAGGGTTTCCTCTTGGGTCTGTGACCTTTGTCTACAGCTGTCTGATTTGCTAGCATGTGCTCACAGCAGCTCAGCAGACCAGACAGGTTGGGTCCTCAGCATCCCTAATGAACTGAAGGGCCTTACTTCAGACCCAGGTTTCTAGCTGGGCTCCACGCTAGCTAAGGACCCTGGTTTATATTCTATTACCAACTCGCTATTTGCTGAACTGAGCCACAGTGCCAACTCTATCCCTTCCATCTTCCAGGGTTTTCTCCCATCTCAGTGCTGGGGTATGCCTCCTGCCCAGGCATCATCATTGCAACTACTTGGGGGCTCTCTGGCTGCGGCCCTGATTTGCCCCTTTGGTGTCAGGGCAAAAGTGGGTACACGTGGCTGTTGTCTTCTTGCCATGAGCTTGGGTCACTTGGAAACCATGACCTCCTCTCTCTGACCTCTCTAACCTGGGATAACCTATGCTCTCCACTTTAATATATCTTGAATATTTTGTTCTCGCTGTGGTCAACCATAGGCTTCCTGTAATCCCAGGCTGTACTTCAGAATCAGAGCACACCTGCAGGTCCTTTCTTCTTCCCAGGGTGGGACTTGTCACCCTGACAGTGTGGAGCCTCGCCCATATATCCCCGGTAGCGTGTGTCAGGGAGGCTGAAGGGGGGACCAGCAGCCCCTCCCAGAGCTGGACTCAGCACCCCTCTTATCTCCTGACTCTCTCTGGTCCTGCCTGGTGTTTCCTACCAGCATCCAATCCTGCAGCTTCCAGACCTACTGCTTGTCCCTGTCCACCGAGTGAGGAGAAGCCCCTGGCCTCAGTCCCAACTCCCCAGCTTCCTGACCTCTAACAGTTTGGGGGAGCTTAATCCTCAGCCAGCCTGTCTCCAGCTCAGACAACAGCCTGGCGCCCCCAGCCTTTGCCTGGCTAGCCCCCAGCCTTTGCCTGGCTAGCCCACCCGGACACGAGTCTGTGGGAGGCCTATGCCCCCGCTATCTAGCTCTCTGTTGCCTGCCTGCCTGTGGTGTTCTTGCCTTGTCAGTTTCACAGGCAGGACTCTTCTTGGCCTCCACCCCTCTTTCCAATAGTCCCACACTGGTCAAGAGCCTGAAGGTTTCCTTTTTCCCTTTACCAGTGGCTCTTGGCTTCGGTTACTCTGCCCATTTTGCTGTTACTTTATTGGCTGGGCCCTCCTTTATGTTCAGGGTGGAGTATTCACAACACACCTTTGCATCCCACTCTCAAATCCAGCATACTTGCCTTTTTTCACCAGAGGAAATCTTCACTGGGTAATACAGGGTCTCAGAAGGTAAACTCAAGCAAGGGCAGAGACAAGGATGAGATCTAATTTACCACTCTATCCTCAGTGCCTTACTCAATGCCCAGCTCATAGACGGCACCAAAGAGACATCTGTTCCATGAATGGCCGGGGGGCAGGGAAGCAACTTGGATAGAGTTTTGTCCCCATTCATCTTTACATTATGGTTTTTTTTTTTAAACCTTCTAACAGTACTAGAGGTAGGTAGGGAAGGGAGTATGATCTCCATTTTAGATGACGAAATATGTCCAGAGAGGTAAAGTACTTTGCCAAGAACAAAGAGCTAGTAAGTTGGGGAGCCAGGACATGGACCCAGATCTTTTGTCCCCAAAACGAATTTCTTCTGGCTATTCCAGATTGTTTTCCTATGAGGGTCCTGGGCAGTTTCCACCCTCTACCTCCAAGCCATCCTCTTCCCTCAGACTTCTCCCCACCCAGGGAAACAGACTCTATACTCAGGGGAGTATAGACCGCTCCCCTGGCCCCTTAGGCCTCCTCCTCCCCCACAGAGTCCTTAGTTCTGGGACTGAGATCTGAGGTTCAGAGGGGCCAGGAAGGAGGGGGGGAGTGGAGAGTAATGGCGAGCTCCGAAACAGCCAAGGCAGCTGTCCCTGTCACAGAGAGAGGAGACTGTGTGACGGTGTGTGGGTTTGCCTGAATGTGGGAGCGCATGTGTGGGAGAGTATGTGTTTGTATGCCTCTAGCTCCAAGTCCAAGTGCTTATTTTGTCTGAGTGGGGGCTCGTGTGTGTCTGCATGTGTGTCTGTCTGTCTCTGGAAATACACAGCCTGAGCTCTGCTTTCTCGGCCTCATCTCTTGCTCTGGCCCTTATCTCTCTTCACCCTGCCTCCTTCTGCTGCAATGGAGGGTGAAACGGAGACACAGGTATGGAATGCTGGTGGAAGGGGAGTTTGGAATACTGGAGTTCTGGAGCCAAGGCAGACTGGAAAGACAAACGGCACTGGTGGGATTTAGTTTTCCCTACAGGTGAACCGAATCATCCCTCTTTTCCCAGCGGTGTTGTTCCCATGGCCTCTGGAGAAGCCAGGGGGATAGCTTGCATTTTGAGAGCACCTTGGGTATAAAGTAAGAGGAGACTTCAGAGCCCCCCTTTTTTCAGCTCTCAGTTCTAAGCCTTTTGAGCTCTTTGGGAAGAACTACTAGTCAAGGCTGCCACAGGTTTCACCCAAGGGTATCTCCCTTCTCTCAGAGCATCCCTGGGCCAGCCCCAAGCCTCTGACTCCTGACCTTAGACCTGGAAGGGGAGGGGAGCTGAATATCCCCCACCCCTAGCCTGAATTCTCTCCTTCCCTGTTCCTTTCAGTCCTTCCTCTCCAACCCTCGGAAAAAGTCCAAGTCTAGACCCCACCCCTCTCCCTGCAAACAGAACAGGGACTGACTGCTTCTCAACCTCCTGCCTTGACCTCTGTTGCACCCCCAGTCTCGCTTGAGAGGTTGGGGGGGCAGCTGTCCTTCTTCAGCTGGTTGACGGGTGCATTTCCATGTGCAAATACAGGCCGCTGCCCATCTGTGCCTCCCAGAGAGAGGCTCCTTATAAATTCAGAACAGCCAAGTGACACACATCTCAATCTAGGCTAATCCGCCACATTAATGCCACCCTGCACAGCCTGGATCAAGTCCCTGTTAATGGAGAGGCAGATGGACCCCTCCTACCCAGCTCTTCACCCCTGTTCCTCTGTCCCTAACCTCCTTTGGTTCTCCTCTGACCCAGAGGTGTCTGTCCAGACTTCCCAAGCCTCACTAGTGCCCCTTTCTCTTCCTCCCACCAGGGGGGGCTTGGGAGAGCCAGCAGCAATGGGGGACCCTGCTGGGGAGACTTGGAGAGGGACCTGACCATCTCCTGGGCCATGTCAAGCAAAGTTTGGGATAGGGAATAAGGGCGGGAAGGTGGCTTTAAGAAGCTCACATTTGCTCCTGGGATCGGGGAGGTAGGAGCGCTGGTGGAGGCTCTAGTAGGAGTGTGATGTGTGTCTGCACAGACACAGAGGCAGACGAGGCCAGGACGCCTAGGGATTTTCAAACTTGTTTTTGATCCTGGAACCCTTTCTTCAAATGCTATCTCCCTAGAAAGCATAAACAAAACAGGCCAAAGCAGGACTGCCCTGGTTGAAGCAGACCCATGCAAGGCCAAGCTAGACTTCTATCCCTGAGGCTGGCCCCAAGTTCCAGTCCTTGAGGGGATTTCTGAGTAGGGCCCCCAGGAACACAATTTGAAAAAGCAAATGAAGAAAAAGCAGTAGCTTACAAGTTTCCCAGACCTGGTTCAGATCCCAGCTTCACCATGCACAAGCTCTGTGAGCTTAGTGGTAACTTCAAGTCTGTTCCCTCACCTGAACAAGGGTGATATTTAAGATAGATGCATTCTTGTGAGGAGAGAAATAATGAGACAAAGGCCCATAGTAAGTATTCATAAATAATAGCAGTGATTATCCGTATGCGAGACATATTGGGCCTGGTTCAAAAATCAAATCTGTCCCACTGGAGAGTAACAGAGGTTTGGGCTGTGTTCAGGTGTGATCAGCTGAGGGGCAGGTGTGAGTTTGTGGGGATACTGGACATACATGTGAGAAGGAACTCAAGTTTTGGAAGATGTGGTGTGCAATAGCATGGTTTTCCATGCAATGGCATAGTTTTCCTTAGCGGATTCAAAAAGTGTCTATTGCACACCAACTGGACACCAGGCAGAGTTCTAGCTAGGTGCCCAGCAGTGAACAAAATACAGTCTGTGTGCATGTCTGTGCATAATGCCCCTGGGAATACCCCCTTCTCCCCTTAGGCTGCTATTTCCCTATTCTATCCTAGGGCACCCCGCAGAGGGGTAGCTTTATGTCGGTAGCTGAGAAAGGAGCAGTGAACTTGAGGGGAAACACTACTAGGAACCGGTTAACTGTGAGATTTTATCCCCATCCACCTGATCTGTGTCTTGTCTTCTTCCAGAGTCCTCCCTCCATGGAGTTCGGCCTGCTCAGCGAGGCGGAGGCCCGCAGCCCGGCCCTCTCGCTGTCAGATGCGGGCACTCCCCACCCACCCCTCCCAGAACACAGCTGCAAGGGCCAAGAGCACAGCGGTGAGCGCACCCCCTACCAGGGGTAGGGGAGATAACAGTTCAATCCCTCCTGGGGGTGACATCTGGCCGTGGGGGAATGCCGGGTGGGAGTGAGCGGTCAGTGGAGGAGGTCCTGGAGCCGCAGAATCCGCGCAGGCCTGGGCGCCCTGTGACCTGCCCCCACCTCGGCCCCCAGACTCGGAGAAGGCCTCGGCTTCGCTGCCCGGCGGCTCCCCCGAAGACGGCTCGCTGAAGAAGAAGCAGCGGCGGCAGCGCACCCACTTCACCAGCCAGCAGTTGCAGGAGCTGGAGGCGACCTTCCAGAGGAACCGCTACCCTGACATGAGCACGCGCGAAGAGATCGCGGTGTGGACCAACCTCACCGAGGCCCGCGTGCGGGTACGGCCCTCCCAAACCTGAGCCCTCCACTACACGCCCGCCCCCGCCCCCCGCCCACCTTCCCCCTCCAGCCCCGGCCTCCTTCTCAGCCGCCGCTCTGCGAGCAGCCCTGGAGCTCCCAGCCGGCGCTCCCGCCCTGATTGCCTACCCTCGGCCCCACACCCGACCGGCCCCTGCCTCGGTCTGCTGCCCCGCACAGCCTCCTTTGCTCCGGCCTCTGCTCCACCTCCATCCACCCTGTCGTCCCAGGCCCCTCGTTCCTTTACCCCCAACACTGTCTCCCGTGCTCTTCTTCACTCCTCTTTGACTCCATCCTTCGTGCTCCCGCCCCAGACCCTATCGCCCTGACTCAGTCCTGTCGCCCACTCCTGTTCTCAGCACCCGGACTCGGTGCGCTCCTTCCACCCCCAGCCTGGCTGCCCCACTTCCGTTTCGTTTCTCCTCGGCACGGTCCCGGCCCGAGCTCCGGGATCTGGGATCCAGCCGCTGCCGCGCGGACCCGGGCCGACCCCCCGCCCGGCTCCGGCCCTGACAGCCTTTCTCCAACGCCCGCAGGTGTGGTTCAAGAACCGGCGCGCCAAGTGGCGGAAGCGCGAGCGCAGCCAACAGGCCGAGCTGTGCAAGGGCGGCTTCGCCGCGCCACTCGGGGGGCTGGTGCCGCCCTATGAAGAGGTGTACCCCGGCTACTCGTACGGCAATTGGCCACCCAAGGCGCTCGGCCCGCCGCTCGCCGCAAAGACCTTCCCGTTCGCCTTCAACTCGGTCAATGTGGGGCCTCTGGCTTCGCAGCCCGTCTTCTCGCCACCCAGCTCCATCGCCGCCTCCATGGTGCCCTCGGCCGCAGCCGCCCCGGGCGCCGTGCCAGGGCCCGGGGCTCTGCAGGGCCTGGGCGGGGGGCCCCCCGGGCTGGCTCCCGCCGCAGTGTCCTCCGGGGCAGTGTCCTGCCCTTACGCCTCGGCCGCTGCAGCCGCAGCCGCAGCCGCCTCCTCCCCCTACGTATATCGGGACCCGTGTAACTCGAGTCTGGCCAGCCTGAGGCTCAAGGCCAAACAGCACGCCTCTTTCAGCTATCCCGCCGTGCCCGGGCCGCCCCCGGCCGCCAACCTCAGTCCGTGCCAGTACGCCGTGGAACGGCCTGTATGAATGGCCCGGTCCGTCTACCATCCCCGAGGGCGGGGGCGAGAATTCACAACCTCCCCCGACGGGGGTCGTCTTGACTGGCTTGCCCCTACCCCGGGGTCTGAGAGGGGTGCTGGGGCAGCTCGGGGAGGGGGGCGCGGCCAGCTCAGGAGAGAGACTACCCCCTGCCGACCCTGAGGGGTGGACTGGGCCCTACACACAGTCCACACCCCTGGGACTAAGGCCAGGAACAGGGACCAGTTCCCCGGGGGCCAACTGACCCTTGGCCCACCCCGCCTTCTCCAGACTCCCCTCCCCCATTTTCAAAGATAAACTAAATAAACGTGCGCGGACTGCCAAAGGCCTGATGATTCAGAGTTGCGGTTGAGCTCCCGCCCCTCATGCTACCCCATGTCTAGAGGAGTGCACAGGAAAGAAGTGAGGCCCGGGCTTCTAGGGCTTCAGTCCCCTCTCAGCTCCCAGCACCGGGATGGGGCAGCTGGGAGATTCCTGGAGCAAAGTGGGGCACGTGCCCTGCGTGCGAATACGTAAGTGTGGTTTAGGACTAGCTACTTGGTTGGCGTTGGCCAAAGCTGGTGCTGCGGCGCCACCTCGTGGTCTCATGGAGGATAACTGGAAGTTCTGGTCAGGAACCCTTGTGGGAGTCAATTCTGCAACTTAGGAAGCTTATGACCTTAGATAAGTTAGCACCGCCTTCCTGCACCTGTTTCTCACTGTTCCTATGAGGGGCTTGGGTCTCTAATAGCAATAAAATTCTGGTCTGTAACAGACATTTATTAAGCGCCTACTAGGCCTAGAATTCTTATTGTCTGCGTGTGTGTACCTCTCATCTTTCCACACACCTTCTTTGGCTTCTCAGTGATCACCCTGCTGCCAGCAGCCCTTTCCCATCACAGCAGTCCTCTTCCCCCAAATCTTAAAACCCCAGAAGACTTGTTGAAATCTTTAATTTAAAAATGGAACAAGAGGAAGATTTCTGGATAGAAATATAAATAACTCAGCTCTGGGGATCCTCCTCAGTTCTACCCCCATCCCAGGGCTTGCTTGGCCTTCACATTAAAAATGGAAACATCAAAGTACTAGATTACACCCCACCCACGGCTGACACTTCTTGCCTGTTATAACTTCCTGCTACTTTGGAGCACAGATCCCATGGGAAAAACCATGCAGGGAAGGCCTCCTAATTATTCTCCCAAACCTAAGATCAACTCCTTGGTGCTGTGGCAGAGAGAGAGCCTGGGGCTCCTTTTTCTCCAGCTTTTCACTGGCTCTTGATCTTGGCTTTGACCTTGGGCACTAGGTAGGTTTGGTGGAAGAAATGGGCAAAGAGGATGAAATAGGTCGTATACAAGACAAGGGACCAGAAGCAGTGTTCCATTGTGGTGTAGCATCCCTGTTCCTGTCTCCAGAGGTAAGTTAGGATGCCAACAATTGCTCCCATAAACATCTGTAGGATCTGCAGGCTGGTGATGAGCATAGGTAACCACCTGGGGGACTTCACTTTGGCAGCCCTCAGAGTGTAGTAGATGTACATGATGGCATGCACACCGTAGTTCATGGTCATGAACCAGCCTCCTGCAGACACCTTGTTCTTGTATCCAAAGCTCGTATACACTAGCACTGAGCTGTGGTGGTACCAGTGCACAAAGATAAGCGGTCGCTTACGCAGGATGATGAAGGCCGTGTCTCCTGGGAAATGGAGAGTCATAGCTGGCTTACCACCCAGTGTTGGGACCACCCTCCCTGATGGATATAGGGACACAGGGGGAATTCTCAGGGCATGGAAAAGGGTCTTTGTGGCAAATAACTTAAAGAGGGGCTTGGGTAAGGGTGTTGTTAGGACCCAAGGGTGGGGGAGTGACTCTCCGTGTAATGGGAGAGGTAGGGGGGCCCTGAGGAGGGATGCAGTTGACTGGGCACCAGAGAGACAAAGCTTTGCCACTCACCAAGTTCAATAACCTTGCTGAGAACAAAGAGACAGGACCAGAATCCGATTATGGGAGTGTTGGCAGAGGTAGAGAAGCACACAGTTTTCTTTAGGCTCCCCCTAAGTACCAGGGTAGCCATATAGCCCCATGTCCTCAGTGCCCCCAGGATACTGAAATGGGACAGAGGAAAAGGGTATAAGGGTCATCCCCAGACACCAATTCACCCTTCTCCCTTGGCCTGGCAGGTCACTGCCTCAAGCTCCACCATTTACCCCCTTCCGGCAGAATGGGTCACAGCTTCTGAGATCCTGGGGCCAGGATCCAACCAGGAATCTAGAGGAGATGAGGGCTGGGGAAGGACCAGGGAATGCTGGAGGATGAGACTGAAAGTTGAGTTAGGGACTAGGGTTAATGGGATGGGTAGGAACCTGGGAGGGGATGGGGGATGGAATCTGGGAAGGAGGGGCTAGAGAAGTTATTGGAAGGTATTGGGAGAGGGTGTTAGATGCTGAGAGCATTAGAGGTTGGAGGAAATTGTTAAAAGTACAGACTCCATGAGCACAAGTGGATTTATGAGAGAGAGAGCAGAGGTTGCCAGTGTGGGGCCTGGGGAAGAAGGAAAGCAGGGTAATATGGGAGGAGGATGGAAGCTGGGGAAGGAACTGGAGCTGAGGGAATGGGTTAGGGAGAGAGTTAGAGGAAAACTTGGGGCACTTGACTCACTTAGGGTTTCCAGAAAGCTTTTAGGGATAGAATGAGGATCTAGGGTCTACAGGATAGTCAGGGAGTGGAGATGCGGCGGGGGGGGGGGTGTCTTACCTGAAGATTGCAAGGCCGAGGGACCAAAGGATGAGAGGCCCCTGCAAGTTGAAGCCCTTCCGTGCCTTCATGTAGTTCTGCCCCACAAAGATGAGCAGCAGGTAGACCAGAGCTATGGGGAATGAGGTTGCCCTGGCAGGCAGAAGGCAGAGGGGATGGGCTTATGGGTGGGTCCTGGTTAGAGGAATGCCCACTCATCTCTCAGGGTCAGTGCTCTGGGTTGGAGTCCCAACTCTGCCACTTACCAGCTGCGTGACTTTGGAAAAATAACATTCCCTGACAGTGTTAAGGTATATAAAGTACCTAGCACAGGGCTGGGGCTGTGTACAGGTTTCTGTGATTATTGCTCTCAGGGGAATTGTGAGTGGGTGACAACTACTGGGTCCATGTCTAGAACCAACCCAGGACTCTAGTGTTTAGAAGAATGTGGCAATAGTTTCTGCCTGTTTGGGTCATGGCAAATTGTCAGTCCACAAACTGACAAAAGTCAGTCCACAAACACCTCTGAGGAGCTTTAGGGCAAAGTCAAAGAGACTAGGGAAATCCTGAAAGAGGTTCCCAACTGTGTCTCCTTTTCCACAGCGGGAGACAATGGAGCATTTGGGGAACAATGTGATAATTGTGAAGGGCAGAGGGTCCCTGGGCACCAGCACTATGCCCGCACACCTGCACACACAGCCACAATGGACAGAGGAGAGTCGTTCTAGAAGGTGGAGAGGAGGAGGAGTTCAGATCAACCCCTTCCTCAGAGATCATGTCTCACTCCCCTCTTTCCCTTCAGTTTCCATATCCTACTTTCCTCAACCCATTTTCTTCCTTTCTCCCTCCCTTCCATCCTGTCTCTTCCTCTCTCATTCTTTCTTTCCTCCAGATCTAATCTCTGAGATGTCATGCTAACTGCACCTTGGACAACAGGGATTTGGAGACAGTACAGGGGAGCCCCACACCTTTGCTCTTTAAGAAAACCGTAGCAGGGGTGCCTGGGTGGCCCAGTTGCTTAAGCGTCTGCCTTCAGCTTGGGTCATGATCCCAGAATTCTGGGATCGAGTCCCACATCGGACTCCCTTCATCGAGGAGCCTGCTTCTCCCTCTCCCTCTGCCCCACCCCCTGCTCATGCTGTCTCTCTCTCTCAGATAAATAAATGAAATCTTAAAAAAAAAAAAAAAAAAAAAAAGAAAAGAAAAAAAAAAAAAAAAAAAAAAAAAAAAAAAGAAAAGAAAAACAAAGAAAATAATCGCAGGCACCCAGTATCTCCTCCCCGACGCCAACCCTCCCTAAATAGCACTCGTTAAGGTCAGGACCCTGGCACTGCCCTTCGCCTTCCCCAGGTCTCACCAGTACTTCTCCAAAAGGGGCCTCATGTTCCAGTACAGCTCGAAGTTGTAAGGCTCCAACATCTGCTCTGTTCCGTCCGAGGCATTCATGGCTGTGACCATTTAGTTCTGCAGATGCCGAGGTCCGGAGCTTGAGAAACTGGGCTAAAGGTTAAGGTCACCGAGGATGGAGCGAACTTTGGGGCAGGACAAAACGCACGTGGGACCCAAGGAACTCCGCGGCCAGCAAGGAGCGTCAGATTCAGGCACATGGGCCACACTCAGAAAACTTCCACCGCCGCCGCCACTGCGGTTTATGAAGCTGGATTGCAAAACTGCGAGCCTGGGGCGGGAGGGTGGGGGCACCGCGGCCCCTCCCAAGGCCAGGCAGTTATCCAATCTCGACTAAGATACGCCCCTCTCCTGCAACTCGCTCTCTGATTGATCATCCTCAAGGGCACCTCCCCCAGGGGTTTCTCACAGCCTAATCCAAACGCCTGTGACAGGTTCCCACCATGCCCACCTTCCCATCCTTTTCTCCCACACCTCCATGCCCAACTGCTTGGCTTAGCTCCTATGGCCTTGCCGGTGCCGGGACAGACCAGTCTTCCCCTGGTACAGCCAACCATACCCTTTGCCTCAGTTCGCTTTAATCCTGACCTACTTGGCAGTGAGGAGACGGTGAGGATGTCCTCAGCCTCTGATGCCTGAGTTCAGTAATTCGGGTGTCAGTTTCCCGCCTCCCTGAGTCCCTGGGGAACCCAGACCCCGGATCAAGATGAATCTCCCCATAGTCCCATCTGCCCTCTTCAGGTCAGTGATTGTAGTGGAAAGGAGATACTTTTAATTTTTTTTTTTTTTTTTGAAGATTTTATTTATTGGGGCGCCTGGGTGACTCAGTCTGCCTTCAGCTCAGGTCATGATCCCGGAGTCCTAGGATCG